AAGATCACCACTTGCTTTCGTGAAGAGGACAGATGCAGATCTACCAGGGACAGGTTAAGCCAGCAGGGATGGGCCCTAATGCAAAACACAATCCATGGTGGGAGAAACCTAATAACACTGTTGAACCCTGTCTCAATTTAGAGAAGAGGTACAGGCTGTTCTCTGTGGGAACAGAACAGACCAGTGAGCAAGAATTACTGGATCTGCCGTTTTGACTAGAGATGGAGTCATCTAAAGAACCACAGAAAGTTAGCAAATCCATGGGAAAAACAGTAATTAAAAAAAAAAAAAAAAAAAAAAAGAAAGAAAGAAAGAAAAAAGAAGAGACAGATAGATGCTGAAAAAAGCCAGCCCAACTTACATGTGGTGCAGTCAGGAGAGGGGAATTGGAGAGTGCTGAAGCTGTGCGCGATGTCACTTTAGCTGTGGCTTGTAGCTGGACTGGGCTTGAAGGAGGGAGCGATCTAGCCGGGCTCTGCCCTCCTTCAGAGTCACTGCCATGGCTGCTGGGAGGGGTTGGAGGCAAATGCAGAGGATCCACTGCTAAACGGCAAGAGAGACATGTAACACAAGGTTTTGAGGTGCTAATTTAAATTTCCACTAGAGCCATCACCACTCAGTTTCCAAGACTAGGACTGTATGCTAAAAAAATGGATCGAGCAAAAGTGGCAACTTGGAAGATTTTCAGAGCGTGCAGATCTCCAAAGCAGTAATGAAACACAGCAGCTATCTTTAGGTTTAACAGACAAAACATACAATCCAGTCGTTTCTACCAACATTTCAGCTTCTTCTCCAAATGCTTTGAGGTTTAAGTATAACCCTCCTGCACAAGTGCCCTGTCTGTGGGGACGTTAACAGAGGGGCTCTGAGCCAGCATGCTTTCTCTTCCAAAACAATAGTCTTTCCTAACTTTGCTGTGGATTAAACAAATAGCCAGTATTTTTCAAGAGAAGGGATCACGTCCAAGGTGTTATATGAACATGGAGGAGAGAAATAATCTGCCTCTTATGGACCTGGTTTGGCCCAACTGGGAGGAAGTGACAACCTAGTGACAGGAGAGGCTTTAATGTACTGATGGAGCAGAAGTAGCATAGGCAACCTCCACAGGAACCTCTCTCACACTGTGCTATCCAGGGCCATAAACTAACTTCTATTGTTACGCCAAAAGAACCTGTGCTAGAACTGGCAAGCAAAGTGCTGCTTATGACCAAATGGGTCTGGACCAAGAAAAACAAGGCAATGTCTCACCTACTCATATTACGTGGACAATTTAGCAATGTTCAAAACAGCCATAACTAAGTCATTTTTTTCTTTGACAAATTTACAGCAATGAAAATTGGGAGTAGGAAAATACAGGGCTGAATATGCCACCTTCCACTTTTGTTATACTTTGCAAATTTGAGTTGAAAAGATCAAATAGCAGTGGGGGAGGAAGGAAGAAAAATAGTAACAAAAAAAAGCTATTATATATGAGCTCTTTTTGTCTATCATCTTAACTCTAGTAGTTGCCAGAAGAAGATACACACTTGAAAAACAGCAAGGCCCTTAATCCCATGAATCTACACTCTAGGCTGAGATACAGCCTCCCTTTTCCCACCTGCTACATCACTTGCTTCTCTCCCTAGAGCAGTTCTACTTACCTACACAATGAATTCACTAACAGAAATCAAGTGTTCCTAACTGAGATGCAGTTAATTGCTCAAATTTCAGCCCAAATACTTGGCTCTTTCAAACTTTCCTTGGATTGACAGATTATGTGCCACAAAACCACGTTTAACTTTCAGGGCAGGGATCATTGCTCCTTCCTTTCTTATTTCTAGATTAGTGCAAAGGGACCGTGGTGGTTCTTAAAAACTCTACTAAAACTAATAGGCCACAAACCGTTGCACCTAACTTTTAATTTCATATAAACTCACATCCTTGCTTTTGTATTAGAGGCTAAACCAGTAAAGTTTCCACCTACTCTCTTCATGTTTTCTATGCCTTAGTTAAGTCCCCTCAAACTGATTTCTCTTCTAGCCTAAATAATCCTGGACTTTAAGGATTCAAGCTCCCTCCAGCACCTGTGCAATTGTTAATATGCTACAGACAAAAAAGGGATAATTTTCTTTGTGATAAAGAAAAAAAAATAAAAGAAAAAACACATAAACGGGTCACAAAGAGGCTGGCTCTTCATCAGCCTGAGTTAAATCCCTAGAAGGCAACAGCTTCAGCCTACAGATTAACACGGCGAACAAGGAAGCCAAATATTTAATCAGGGTAAAGTACATTCATTGTGCATTCTGGTCATTTCCCTCTGCATTTTGGGTTCGTAATTAACAGACCTTCCTTAGAAGAGAGGTTCAGGAACTGATCCACTTCATGGGGCTCCAATTTAATCTCTGGAAGAACTTTCTGGCTCAGTGGTTTCATCTAGAAAAGAGAAATTAACAGCATGAAAACCCAAAGCACACATCTTAAAAATCTTAATAGAAGGATACAAGGATGACTTCTCCATAAATGGAGAGGTCTCCCTCTCCTCCTGCTCTGCTACAGGCAAAGCTTTAACTGCTTCACACAGTTTGCTAAACCAGGCCACAGAGAATACTGCCCTGACTACTCCCATGTGGCTTTTCTTACTACTATATTTAGCTAAATAAAAGATTACGCCTCAGAGATGACATTTCAGACTGAAAGCTAGCATGCAACCCACTCAAATTACTTCTCTTAGCAACAGAGCTGCTGCTAGGATTTGCCGGACCGCACAGCCTCTCTGAGCAGAGACAGAAACACTCCTGGCAGTGGGGGAGAGCCCATTCAAGACGGTTGTCACCCGGCAGCAAGAGCAAGGTGCCAGCCACTGAGCACCAGATTATCGGACCCAAGTTCATTTCACGGTGTAGAGGAGCAGAAAGAGAGACAGTCACGGCTGACCGAAGTTTGGAAGACATGTGGCTTGCCCTGTCTTCCAGGGCTGGAGCACCAGGCTCCCAAACTGTTGCCCACAGTCTGCCTGAATGCTACAGTCCCAGGCTTGAGGAAGTCAGTCTGGCACATCAGCACGCTCATTGCAGCCAAAATTTCTCTCAATAACCTGCGTAACTAATCCGTGCAATGGTAATGAGCTGCCAGCTAGTCCCAATATAGTCTTCGCAAATCATGGCATCCCAAGCTACAGCAGGACTACATACCAGGGACAGCACATTCAGACTAGAAGAGGATTATGGGTAACTTGTATTTAATTTTTTCAGTTTCTCATAAAATAATTTCTGTTGCACATATTTCTGGTCCACATCCAAGTGGAAACACTTATTCTCAGCATATACTAACTCCACCCGGCCTGGACTGACGTTGCAGCCTGGGGACTGAGAACAGTCATGCTTCTTCCTCCACTCAGGGGACTCTGGTGAGCCATCAGCTGCTGCAGTTCATTCTCCTTAACTCAGCCACAACCAAACTACGCCCTTGAGAATGCCCACTGTTTGCTCCAGCTGTGGTCAGAAAGGCATCACAAACGCTCCTTACGAAGCAAGTTGGTGTGGAAGCAGCAGCTCAAAATGTCAAACCTTCACAGACCTGGCAAAAGTGATTTCGCAGGCAAACAGGGAAACTCTCCAGTCATTTCAAACAAGGAGTCTTGCTCTGATTAGGGGAAGGCACAGCAGCACTACAGCAAGTTATTATGGAAGACACTCAGCTTGTCAAAGGTTTGACAGAGCAAATGGGTTAGTCAGTTTGGGTGGGACTGGTTCATTAGAAACTATTTAAAAACACATGAGCCCCAAACTTTGGGGCTAACATAGAAGAGAAAGTTATGCATCCAACCATTAAGACCTGAAGATGCAGATAAGTGTTTTGAAACACAAGCTCCTACAGCAGCAGTGGGACACCAGCAAATGTTAAATAACATTAAAGCAGACCGCAGTGTGCACCCTGAATTGACAACCATTGGCACTAAGGAGGCTACACTGGTATATAGTCTTAGAAGAATCTGTAGCTAACTGCCCAGAGAGGAGAAGAGAAAGTCTGCAAGTACCAGGGCATCCATCTGCAGCTCGGGTTGTTCCCCCTCCAGCGACGTGGCCGTGACAGTGAGACTGACTGAGGGAGCAAGGCCTGATGTCTCACACAACACTGGCTCAGTCTTTATTGCTGCTGGAGTCAGCTCTGTACCCAGACACCATTCCTCATTTTCCAGGTCACCTGCCAGGGAAGGAAATTGGACACCACATGTTTAGGTCAGAGACAGAAAGACTACAAATGAAAATAATGTCATCCCTCCTCCAGAGAAGGGAAACAAACACAGAAGGCAATTCAGTGTATCAACAAAACTCTGCCTTTACTATTCAGCTCTCAGTCAATGCAGACAACCGTGCCATTTCAGGGCTGTAACCTAATCCTAGCCCCAGGATACAGAGAGGAACAGCAAGGAAAGACACAGAGCACTAATCACTGTACACTGCCGAAAGCTGCTAACACAGAGCCGAACAAGACCGAAGACTAAATGAGCGACAGGGTAAAGCAGCCAGGGAGCCATGTCCTACACACACTAATGCCTGCTGACTCAGTTTTATTCCTCATTGTAGAGACAGCATTTAGCCAGACTTCTGCTCCTTCTACTGCCTGCAATCACCAAATAGGCAGAGTGGTGATACTATATCTCCAAGAAGAAAGGATTTTTCACACTCTCAACTTCAAAATTTTTCCCCCAAGGATTCATTTAGTAAGTATAAAAGAGGATAAAGGCTTTGATGATTTCACAGGAGCACCAGTGCCGTGGTGATCATGCTAAATTTCCTCCCCAGAGCTTCTGGAATTCACAGCACAGGATGCATATTTTGACTGGCAGCAGTGAAACATGCATCACATGTTGGCAGAATTCTCCCCTAGCCCCACTTACTGCAAGCTCACTAATCAGAAGAAAGTCATGCAACTTTTCATTGGACAAATCTGAAAGGTTTGCCTCGCACTGTCAAGAACTGGAACAAGGTTGGCATGGTTAAGTTGGTAGCTCCCCATTTCCGTTCATGAAGCAGCCACTGTTTGGCTTGCTGAGAAGAGATTTACTCTCTCAGGTGTAAAGTATGAGTGAGGATCAAGAACTTGGAAGGACTCAGCCTTCCAAACAATTCCACAAGGCTACTGACAAGCCCACTTAAAAAAAAAAAAAAAAAAAAAAATCAAATGCAGTTTTGGCAGTTGTAATTCTGCCTTAAAAAAATTCCCATCCCTACTGCTAGAGTTCAGTCATGTGAGTTCTTTTCTCTTGTAGGAGAATACCCTACACCAGCTGTACTGCATCCCAAGAGCACACAGCACAGTCCTCTGCCACACCTCATCAGTAGTCATGAGAAGCACATCCATTAAATCAAGCAGCTGGAATCCGAGGCCAAATATACATAAAAGAGAGTGCTGATCGTTCTTTCAATGCTGTCTCCTGCCTTCGTACAGAGTATTTACTGCATGTACGGAATTAAAGCACAGAGCAAGCACGTACACCATACGGCTAATAAACAGCAACAGAGCTTTGCATTAACTGCGTGCTGCATCAGCACCATGGGAGGCAGCCATGGTGCTGCGGCTGTGCCACCAGCAGTCTGCAAGGCTGACACAAGAACCTTACACATCTGAGCGTATCAAGCTGGTGAGATGTCAACAGAGTTCAGCTGCAAACAGGTAACAAAAATAAGAGCGGGCTTACAGCCTCCGTGCTGCTGTCTGCCCTTGCTCTTAAGACCACACACACACACGGCACACAGGCACTGGGCAGAAGCTGGGTGACTGGAAGCAGGGAGAAAGCATGTACATCTTCAGTGCTAGTAATTACTTTGTGGTGGGACCTAACCTCCACCACTGGCAAGGAAGGAGGTAATTTGAGTAAAGACACACCAAGGCATTAAAAATGAAAAAAAATGTATCCTGTAATCAGAAGTTTAAGAACAGCAAGCCCAGCTCTGCCAAGAGAAGTAACTGTACAGCAAGGGCTAAACACCATATTTAAGTTTCTGGAAAGCTTACTCCCAAAGCTGTCTGGGAAATGCAGAAATATAAAAATAGAAGTATTTATGAAAAAAAGAGGTAGCATTGTCTAAATATTAACTCAGGAGAGAGGACATTGCTCTCTTTCAACCCTCCCTGAGCCTCTCTACTCACAAACACAAGAGCGCAGCTCCCTCCCTGCTGACTGCAATGAAACATTCAGTGGATCTGCGGACTGCCTCTAGCTTGCTGTGTGAGGATCCTTCCGATAAGAGCTTTAAAGCGGTATCTTCGCCCAGAAATCCAGAATCCCTTGGCAAATGCAACTTTCAAATGCTTGTTTGGATAACTTCTGCCAAAATGTCCCCCACATGGTGTTGTGCAGAGCGTCCGCCTGCTGCCTCTTGCGCCTCCAGGTCAAGCTACACCGTGGCATCTGTAATCTACTTTGGCAGGGAAGGCTACATATAAATGAGAGCTATCAGCGAAGCAAGTAATTAGCCCTGAACTTTCTGAGATTTGTATCATCATGCAAGCAGAAGAGAAATCTAGCCGTGGGTGCCCAGCGAAAGAGGGCATGTCCTCTAAGGCTGCACTTTGTGATGTTTATCACCCCTAATCCTCAGACTCATCACGAGGATTCAGCTGTTGTAAGACAGCAAGATATGTTGGCCTTCAGACGGTCATTTTACTCCTCCGGAACCCAACTTTGCTGATTAACCTGACATCCCTGCCATCACCACTTAGATCTGCACAAACTGCTCAGAGTTATTCTAGACTTTAAAGCCAGCCTAACCAGTTTGTAGGGTTATGAATGGTTTTCAGCGACAGCAACACGCTGCATTTAACATGGAGATAACTTTGAAGAACTGCATCTAACACTTTTTTGACACTGGCTCTTATGATGCAGGATGACAGCTGTCATTCCAGATGAACAACCCTGTGAAAGGAAGGGACAGAGCAACACATTGGTCGAATTCTACCTTGATATTCCCCCTTTCCCCACTTTTTCCAAGCCCCTGTTACACGTTCGCTACCACGGTCAGTGTTGTGCAACAAGTTACTTTCTTTTGACACACTCCAGCTTCTGAAGTCACTAAGGAGCTCTCCTCTGTTCCAAGAGAGTCTCAAGGACATTTCCCACTCTCCTTTCTCTTCTTCCTGAGCATAAAGGGTTGACATTATCTGAAAATCACTCTTAGTTTACTCTTATAATAGCCCCTTAGCACCTTAGTCTACTCTGCCAAGCACTGTACTAGCAGAACAAAGTGGCTGCCCTTCTCCCAAAGCCCTTGAATGTTGCACAAAACCAGAAAAATTTAGGCAAACAGGAAAATTGAGCAGGCTACAGAATACGGGTCATACACGGTACACCCTGCAAGTATTTCTGATGGAGGGGTATGGAGAACCATGAGAGAGGTTTCATGGAATAATGAGAACAAGCAAGAAGGTGCACATGAAATATTGAAATAAAAGGACATCGGAGGCTGGCTCAAGGGACCCACTGGAGGAAAAGGAAGATGTCTTCTCCAGACCAAGCAAGACATGCTGCGGAAAGAGTAGATGACTGGTGTCAAGAAACTGAAGATGAGTGTTTATACTTATATTTTACATGATCCAACACCTGACTATTAAGACAGAGTCCAAAACAAAAGGCTGAGAAAACTATCTTGGTGATGACATTCTAGATGGACATGAATATAGCAACACTGCACTGCTAAGGTGAGACAAAATGCACTGCAAATCATTCAGCTACAGAGAGGAGAAAGCCTAAATAAGCGATTTAGCTATCCAAATGGCTAGGAAAATCCACATCCTAAAGACAGGCACTTTGGCTGTTAAAAATCCCTTCTCAGGCTTCAAAACACTGATTCCAAAGTTCACTGTTGAACAAGCGATACTGGCTGTCAGTCCCCTTTCCAAGCTGAAACCTGCTATGAACTCCAGAGCTCTATTGTGCAATGACTGTTTCGATAAGAAGCATTCTCCTTCACCTACCCTTTCACAAATCCATGAATGCTAGGTATTTTGGCACATGAAATGTGTCATTTAAGGAGTCTACACAGCACTTAGCAAAATCCCAGCTAATGCTTCTATGTGCAATGCACAAGCGCATTTAAATTCCACATACAGACTATGTTAACTGAACATTAATGTTACAAAGCACCCAGGTATTCAGAAATATCTATGAAAGTTTAATTCAGTGTACTTTTGTACATTATATACAACCAATCAACTTTTCTACAGAACCTGTTCCTTACTCAACAAGCAGAATGCATGGCACTCCCCTAATCGAGGAACTATTCCATGTTTTGTTACCCATGTTTTTGTTACTCTCATTGTCTCATGCACAGCCTCATCTCTCCTTTACCAAATACAATTCAAATTCTGTTCGCACAGAGCTGTTTAATTCCCTCCTAGGGAAATGCTTCATGAACCTGAATTAATTTCCACAGCAGCCCTGAAAATTCAAACGAGCCATGGAAAGATCAAGGCCAAAAAGTATCTAGTAATTTAAAATGGCCAACTGAAGACAACTGGAATTTGATTTTTCAGATGATTTAGCACTGTTACTATACTTTATCAAAATACAGTATGCACTGAGTTTTCAGGTGCAGCTGTGAACATCTACCACTTCTGCAAGTTAAACATCAGTTTCAAATCAAGCATACAAAAAACCCATTCATCACTGCAAGCCAGGGTTTGTGAGACATGCATCTAAGATCTTGTCTTCTGCATCCAAGAGTAAAATCGCATTTCTTCAGAAAGCTTTTGTGTGCTGTTTCTGTCATCAAGCTCATCCCACTTTTCTTGCAGACTCTTGTTTAGCATGCATCTTCCTTTTCTAAAAAAGAAAGGCAGGAGCCTTACAAAGCGCCACAGTAAGTTCAATTAGTGTACTGAGCAATGTTCTTACTGATAGGAAAAACTTTGAACATGTCCTCTTCTTTACTAGCTGCACTCATTGTGAGTCTGGCTTGGTCCCAGATACGACATGCAATGTGTTGTAAGATGCTGTGCATGTGACAATGCAAGAAAGGAAGCTCAAAATGGGACATAATCCCCTTAGTACTGTAAATGTAAGCACTGCATGTCACGCATATCTACAGCAAGGTGTCCAAGTAGCAAACAAACTCTTTCTGTCCTCTGTCTTTATTTCTGAGGTTCCATCATCTGCAGTTAAGATGGGCAATGCTAGTACGATCTACTCAGTATACCACATA